TGCAGGATCCCTCCCTTTCGGCGTCCCTAGTGGCTGAGGATTTGCATGCCTGTGGGCATTTGGCTTCGGTTTTGCATTTCTTTTCCCTGCTGGAGCTGTCTTCGGACTGGTTAAGCGAGGATGTGGAGGAACTTAGATCCGGGCCGGTGTCTGGTGTGTTTGCATCGGCAGCTCGGGCGTCGGCTACCTTGTTAAAGTTGTTTGTGCCTATTCTGAAGGAGACGGTGTCTCTGTTCTTTGCTTCTCGCCTTGCGTGCCAACAGGCAGTGCTCGTCCACTCTTTGGAATTGGCTTAGGCCCTGGCTCTTTGATTTTCGTCCCACTTTTGTCCGTTGCAGTTTGCAGGTCTGTGGTGGTGCATTTCCTGCATGTGGCTTCATTTAGTTGCTGGCCTATGTCAGACTTGTTGGTTCTCCGGGGGGGGGGGGGGGGGTTGTTTGGGCCTTTGGTCCTTGTTAGCCAGTAGTGCCAGATTCGGGACCGGCACCTCCTGTGGAGCCGTCGGCGTCTGGTCGGGGCAGTGATCACTCTGAGCATTGGTTGGGCTTTCGTAGCGGTCGTCAGCCCTTTTGTGGGTTTCCTCATCGACGGGACGATAGGGGGGAGGCTCGCACTGTTTGTTCTCGCCTGGTCTCACGATTCGTGGGCATTTCGGGTCGTTTCCTCCAGCCTGCGGTGGCGTTGAGACGCTCCTCCTCCTTTGGGGGTATCGGGACTGGCAGGGCAGGCCTCTTCTCCTGTGCGCTGTCAGGTCATCTGGGAGTGGGTTCGCTTGGGCGTGGTCGAAACGACAACGTCCCTCAGGTAGGTTTCCCCACCTGTTTTCAGTTCCGAAACAGGACTGTGTGGATTTGCGATTCATACTGGGCTTGTCCTGTCTGAATCCCTGGGTCTTTTGCCCCTCCTTTCGAATGGCTACTCTGTCTCCGGTCCGGCTGCTTTTGGCGTCGGGTGCCTGGATGGTGTCTCTGGACCTCCAGGACGTGTATTGGCACGTCCCGATTCATCCAGGGTTCAGGGACTGGCTCGGGTTTGTCAGGGGCGACAGGCTTACAACTATCTTTGCCTTCCATTCTGTTTGAATCTGGCACCTTGCGTGTTCACACAACCTTACCCAGGTTGTGGTGACCCGTTTGCTTCTGCTAGGGGTTCGGGTTCTGGCTTACCTCGACAACTGGCTGGTGTGGGCTCCCAGCTAGTCTTCGTGTCTGCTCGCCAGGGATTTGGTTCTTATCCAACTTGCCAGGTTCGGTTCTTGATGAACTGGAGGAAGTCCCATTTGGTTCCCTCTCAGGTTCGGACTTGGCTGGGTCTAGTGTGGAACTCTCGGACCACTTCCTTGTCTCTCCCAACTGCGATGTTGTTGCAACTGTGGTCCCGCCTACGACTGTTCTTGGAGGGCACCCGGGTCACACGTCGGTTGTTCGAGCGGCTGTGCGGGAACCTGAACTTCGCTGTGCTGGTCTACCCGCCGGGTTGGATCTGTCTTTGGCGGCTGTTTGGTTTCTTCGGGGACGTCCCTTCCGCCGCTCTCGTGATCGCTGGGTTTGGATCCCGGGAGCCTTGCGTCACCGGCTTCCTCTGCAGGTGATGTGTTGCCACGGTCTACACATCAGCCCGGTATAACTGAGGAGTCTTCGGGTCTCACCCAGAAATTGGCATTTCATTACATTCAACGTTGGTTTTTTAGTACTTCACTAATTTCTTTGTCATCCTCTATGTAAGAACCTTCACCTGTAAGAATAGGTCCATTACTAACAGTTGTTCTTAATTTTGATTTCGCATATAACTATGACAGAATCACAGAAACGTTAGAAGAAAAACAAAATGCAGATGTTTTATGCACAGATTTTGCTAAGGTATATGATAAGTGTGACTGTGGAGTGATAGCCCATAAAATGAGATCAATTGGAATAACGGGTAAAATGGAGCATTGGATTTTAAATTTTGTTTCAGACGGAATGCAAAGAGTAACAGTCAATCAAATAAGATCAAGTCCAAGTGCAGTGAAAAGCTCTGTACCCCAGGGCACAGTCCTTGCACCACTACTACCACACAACCTATATATTATGTGAGAAATCTTTAAAGAATTCTGATAAAGAAAGAGATCTAGGGGTGGTTCTAGATAGAAAACTATCACCTGAGGACCACATAAAGAATATTGTGCGAGGAGCCTATGCCACGCTTTCTAACTTCAGAATTGCTTTTAAATACATGGATGGCGATATACTAAAGAAATTGTTCACAACTTTTGTTAGGCCAAAGCTAGAATATGCAGCGGTTGTGTAGTGCCCATATCTTAAGAAGCACATCAACAAACTGGAAAAGGTGCAAAGACATGCTACTAAGTGGCTCCCAGAACTGAAGGGCAAGAGCTACGAGGAGAGGTTAGAGGCATTAAATATGCCAAAACTAGAAGACAGAAGAAAAAGAGGTGATATGATCACTACATACAAAATAGTAACAGGAATTGATAAAATCGATAGGGAAGATTTCCTGAGACCTGGAACTTTAACCCTTACACTGCTCAAGGGTCCTGGGGACATTTACACCCCTGTGCGCAAGAAAAAAAAAATTCAATTTTTTTTTTCGTCTTCTAAACATGTTAATTTGTGTCCCCTGAGCACGGGGAAAAAAAAAATCGTAGGTGACATATTTTGGGCGCAATTGACCGAGGAAGTCTGGCAAAAAGTGGGCGTTGACAGAGTGGTCGTCAGACCCGGTCAGCGTCACCCGCGCTGACAGATGGGAGTTGCCACAAAGATATTATTACCTAATTGTTTCAATGTCTCCGATTGATTTTTTCTTAGTTTTTTTGCAGTAATATTATTCAATAGTGTGTATTGTAATATATTTATATAATAAAAGTGGTGAATAATCGCTATACTCAAAAGTATGATGTGCATATTAGTGATTCAATTATTATGTTTATAAAACAATAAACAAATAGTTTTGCTGCTATTACACTCTATACACAGGTTATATATAAGTATCTGCATGTTTTGGTCACCATAATGAACCACTAAGTTGGTATTGAGAGTCGAAAAGCAACGAAGAGTGACCGCCACACACCAGCCAGCCCACTCGCTGCCACTCCCTCAACACACGCACTAAACTTTCTCCCCCAACAATACCATTTGTGGTGTTATTACACTATATACAGACGTTATATATAAGTATGTATATATTTTGTTCACCACAACTGTACAGCTAAGCTGATATAGTTAGTTCAGGCACTAAGAGTCGTCGCTATACACAGATGGCGGCTGGCGGGTCCCTCACTCATTCAAGGTCACACGCACTAAACTTTCTCCCCCAACAATACTGTTTGCAGTGTTATTACCCTATATACACATATTATATATAAGTATCTACATGTTTTATGCACTGTAACTGTATACCTAAGCTTGTAGTGCGCCCAAAGAGCATAGTGGCCACCCTCTAAACAGCTAGACAAATCGTGCAGACGACATCACCCCCGTCACCCATATGGCTCCTCCCAGCATAATCCTTTTGCTGTTATTACACTAATACACACATTATATATAAGTATCTACATTTGTGTTCACCATAGAGAACCACTGAGCTAGTATGGTGAATGCAAACAATAACAGGTGGCCACACAGTCAGTAAACGATGCTGTCTCCCTCCGTCGCTCAGCATCACTCCTCCCACAGCGCTAATTATTACAACAATCCTGCTATTATCACAACCCTGGGTATTTATATCACAGTCATAGGTCATCTGTAATATTGTCATCGCTAAATAATAACAATTATATATTTATTTTGACATTTTTCGGCGATGCTGTGATCACAAGCTGAACAGCAATGCTGTTCGCTCATGCTGCGTGCGCCGGCCTTGGTTGCTCCAACAGTACTGTGCCTCTCACACCTGAGAATATTGCCCACGATTTTTTTTTAAATGGCAACTGTTTACAAGAGCCCTGAGGAAGCTACTGTGAACCCCGTGTAGCCGCGGGCCATTTGAATCAGGCCTGGCACCCTATGGCGTATATATATGCCATGCGCACTGTGGGACATGTTACTCAGGGCGTATATATATGCCATGCGCAGTTTAAGGGTTAAGAACAAGAGGTCATAGATATAAACTAGCTAAACACAGATGCCGAAGAAATATAAGAAAATTCACTTTCACAAACAGAGTGGTAGACGGTTGGAACAAGTTAGGTGAAAAGGTGGTGGAGGCCAAGACCGTCAGTAGTTTCAAAGCGTTATATGACAAAGAGTGCTGGGAAGACGGGACACCACGAGCGTAGCTCTCATCCTGTAACTACACTTAGGTAATTACACTTAGGTAATTACTACTCTTTCTCATTCTTATCTCTGATATAGACAAAAATACCAGTCACAGCTTCGTTTCATCCTTTGCAGATGATAAAAAATCAGCATGGAAAATTTCCTTTGTAGAAGACACTGAAAAAGCCACATCCCAAAAAAGCCACATTTCCCCCACCTTTCTACAACTAGTGGAAGAGATGGGGCAAACAAGTGCATTCCTGCTTCGAGGGATTCGATTGTTTGTTTATATCACTGGGGGAGTTTGTTTGATGGTTTTGAGGCTTTGGTTTCTTTGAACCCAGCGGTGGTCTGTACTGTATTGGTTTGCCGACTTTCTGGATGCTTTTCTGGTGAGGTGGTGTAAAATCACCTGCTCGTTATGCCTCTGTGAGGATGCCAAGTTCTGGCACTGGTCCCCAGTAGGCCAAACAGAACTCCAGGGCTGATGCAATCTAGTAGTTGGGAGTCATCTCAGTGAGATAGCTTCAGTCAACCTCTATGGCTTCCCCAGGAAAATACCCGTATTATTTTTTAAATCACTGAAAACGTCAATACCTTTCTTGAATCCAAAGACCGGTGACTTTACTCTTGCCACTACCTTTGGTTTGACAAAAGTGTGTAATGTTTTGAGAAGTATAGTATGTTAATATTAAGACCAAAATAATAATATGCATGACAACATGCTGTAATATATTTCAGGTGCTAGCAGAACACTGTCGAGATCCAGCACTGCTTGTGAGGAAGCAGATAATTACTTCTTTGTCAACACTTGTCACTTGTTACCCTCAGCATGAGGCTGTCATCACCGTGTGGATTAAGGGGGTTTTGCCACTTATCCTTGATCCTGAAATAAAAGTTCAGGAGCGTGTTGTAGAGGTGAGTTAATTTTGTTAACTGAGAATATATCTACACTTTTAAAACTTTGCAATCTTTTGCATTTTATTTACTAACTAATTCAACTATTCCTTTATACATGTAGGTTTCCTTATGATATTTGTGCTTTTGAGTATTAAAAGCTTTGCATTTGTCTGATTATAATTTTTTCTGATTGTAACTGAAAGAAAAGTCACAACTTCCATATAGGCACTGGATGTGGACTATCTGCTTCCTAAGTTATATCGGTCTACAGGCAGCTATTAAGATTAAGGGGAATTGTCTGCGTAACTGACCAGTCTTAGGCAAGAAGCCTTGAGTCATGACTCAGCCCAAAGGTAATCTTGCACTAGGCTCAATGATCAGTACCATTCAAACGTGGATTTGGGTCATGCCCTACAGAATCAAACTATATGAGGGATTTTGCCAGCAGCAGGTTCTGCATCAGTAGTTTAAATTGAGGAATCTAGTTATGAATCAACAATAAGGGACCACTGGATTTTGAAGGGTGTATCGTAAAGTCTTCAGGAAGCAGTAAACATTAGTTTATTATTTTGTTTGTTGGGGACAGGAAGCCTGTATTTAGATTTATCCAGGTCCCCTTAAGCATACTACTGACTTTCCTCAGTATTCAAACCACAATAGTTACCAAACTTCTGGGTACCTTTTTACTGCTAGGTGAACAGAGGCATCAGGGATGCCTGGAAATCAGTGGGCAGAATACCCCATGAGGTGGGATCTGATCTAACTTACTCTCAATGTTACAGGCGACACCAAGTGATCTAAAATAAATTAATCACGTGGAATGTATTCAGGTTGTCACTATTCACTGACGTTCACTATTCACACCTGTGCACCATTCACTTACAAATGTCTAGAAATGTTAACTAAAAATGTCTATAAATTATATAACTTTACTAGGAGGCTAATGCAAGGGGTCAAGAACAATGGAGTCGCCGGCCAGGTTGTTGCCAGTTGCTGTTTGTTACCACACTACAGATGTGTACCTGTAGTGGTCACGTGTCAATAGTCACGCTTGTATATGTGACGGGTACTCATTCACGCTACAAATGTGTACCTGTAGTGGTCACGTGTCAATAGTCACGCTTGTATATGTGACGGGTACTCATTCACGCTACAGATGTGTACCTGTAGTGGTCACGTGTCAATAGTCACGCTTGTATATGTGACGGGTACTCATTCACGCTACAGATGTGTACCTGTAGTGGTCACGTGTCAATAGTCACGCTTGTATATGTGACGGGTACTCATTCACGCTACAAATGTGCACCTGTAGTGGTCACGTGTCAATAGTCACGCTTGTATATGTGACGGGTACTCATTCACGCTAGAGATGTGTGCCTGTAGTGGTCACGTGTCAATAGTCACGCTTGTATATGTGACGGATACTCATTCACGCTACAGACCATACTGTGTTCTCAAAAATGTTCAGGGAATTTATATGAATGATTATTTTAATATTAAGTGTTTATTATGAGTAATTTATATTGGTAACTCAAGTATCTTATTGACTCATAAAGTGCAGTTACCATCATCTGTTGATCCTTGGGGTTATGTGGTTACCATCATCTGTTGATCCTTGGGGTTATGTGGTTACTGTCATCTGTTGATCCTTGGGGTTATGTGGTTACTATCATCTGTTGATCCTTGGGGTTATGTGGTTACCATCATCTGTTGATCCTTGGGGTTATGTGGTTACTATCATCTGTTGGTCCTTGGGGTTATGTGGTTACCATCATCTGTTGATCCTTGGGGTTATGTGGTTACCATCATCTGTTGATCCTTGGGGTTATGTGGTTACTATCATCTGTTGATCCTTGGGGTTATGTGGTTACCATCATCTGTTGATCCTTGGGGTTATGTGGTTACTATCATCTGTTGATCCTTGGGGTTATGTGGTTACTGTCATCTGTTGATCCTTGGGGTTATGTGGTTACCATCATCTGTTGATCCTTGGGGTTATATGGTTACTGTCATCTGTTGATCCTTGGGGTAATGTGGTTACTGTCATCTGTTGATCCTTGGGGTTATGTGGTTACTATCATCTGTTGATCCTTGGGGTTATGTGGTTACTATCATCTGCTGATCCTTGGGGTTATGTGGTTACCATCATCTGTTGATCCTTGGGGTTATGTGGTTACTATCATCTGTTGATCCTTGGGGTTATGTGGTTACTATCATCTGTTGATCCTTGGGGTTATGTGGTTACCATCATCTGTTGATCCTTGGGGTTATGTGGTTACCATCATCTGTTGATCCTTGGGGTTATGTGGTTACTGTCATCTGTTGATCCTTGGGGTTATGTGGTTACTATCATCTGTTGATCCTTGGGGTTATGTGGTTACTATCATCTGTTGATCCTTGGGGTTATGTGGTTACCATCATCTGTTGATCCTTGGGGTTATATGGTTACTGTCATCTGTTGATCCTTGGGGTTATGTGGTTACTATCATCTGTTGATCCTTGGGGTTATGTGGTTACTATCATCTGTTGATCCTTGGGGTTATGTGGTTACTGTCATCTGTTGATCCTTGGGGTTATGTGGTTACCATCATCAGTTGATCCTTGGGGTTATATGGTTACTGTCATCTGTTGATCCTTGGGGTTATGTGGTTACTGTCATCTGTTGATCCTTGGGGTTATGTGGTTACTATCATCTGTTGATCCTTGGGGTTATCTGGTTACCATCATCTGTTGATCCTTGGGGTTATGTGGTTACTGTCATCTGTTGATCCTTGGGGTTATGTGGTTACTGTCATCTGTTGATCCTTGGGGTTATGTGGTTACTATCATCTGTTGATCCTTGGGGTTATGTGGTTACTATCATCTGTTGATCCTTGGAGTTATATGGTTACTGTCATCTGTTGATCCTTGGGGTTATGTGGTTACCATCATCTGTTGATCCTTGGGGTTATGTGGTTACTATCATCTGTTGATCCTTGGGGTTATGTGGTTACTATCATCTGTTGGTCCTTGGGGTTATGTGGTTACTATCATCTGTTGATCCTTGGGGTTATGTGGTTACCATCATCTGTTGATCCTTGGGGTTATGTGGTTACCATCATCTGTTGATCCTTGGGGTTATGTGGTTACTGTCATCTGTTGATCCTTGGGGTTATGTGGTTACCATCATCTGTTGATCCTTGGGGTTATGTGGTTACCATCATCTGTTGATCCTTGGGGTTATGTGGTTACTATCATCTGTTGATCCTTGGGGTTATGTGGTTACTGTCATCTGTTGATCCTTGGGGTTATGTGGTTACTGTCATCTGTTGATCCTTGGGGTTATGTGGTTACCATCATCTGTTAATCCTTGGGGTTATGTGGTTACTGTCATCTGTTGATCCTTGGGGTTATGTGGTTACTGTCATCTGTTGATCCTTGGGGTTATGTGGTTACTATTATCTGTTGATCCTTGGGGTTATGTGGTTACTATCATCTGCTGATCCTTGGGGTTATGTGGTTACCATCATCTGTTGATCCTTGGGGTTATGTGGTTACTATCATCTGTTGATCCTTGGGGTTATGTGATTACCATCATTTGTTGATCCTTGGGGTTATGTGGTTACTATCATCTGTTGATCCTTGGGGTTATGTGGTTACCATCATCTGTTGATCCTTGGGGTTATGTGGTTACCATCATCTGTTGATCCTTGGGGTTATGTGGTTACTGTCATCTGTTGATCCTTGGGGTTATGTGGTTACTATCATCTGTTGATCCTTGGGGTTATGTGGTTACTATCATCTGTTGATCCTTGGGGTTATGTGGTTACCATCATCTGTTGATCCTTGGGGTTATGTGGTTACTGTCATCTGTTGATCCTTGGGGTTATGTGGTTACTATCATCTGTTGATCCTTGGGGTTATCTGGTTACCATCATCTGTTGATCCTTGGGGTTATGTGGTTACTGTCATCTGTTGATCCTTGGGGTTATGTGGTTACTGTCATCTGTTGATCCTTGGGGTTATGTGGTTACTATCATCTGTTGATCCTTGGGGTTATGTGGTTACTATCATCTGTTGATCCTTGGAGTTATCTGGTTACTGTCATCTGTTGATCCTTGGGGTTATGTGGTTACCATCATCTGTTGATCCTTGGGGTTATGTGGTTACTATCATCTGTTGATCCTTGGGGTTATGTGGTTACTATCATCTGTTGGTCCTTGGGGTTATGTGGTTACTATCATCTGTTGATCCTTGGGGTTATGTGGTTACCATCATCTGTTGATCCTTGGGGTTATGTGGTTATGTGGTTACCATCATCTGTTGATCCTTGGGGTTATGTGGTTACTGTCATCTGTTGATCCTTGGGGTTATGTGGTTACCATCATCTGTTGATCCTTGGGGTTATGTGGTTACCATCATCTGTTGATCCTTGGGGTTATGTGGTTACTATCATCTGTTGATCCTTGGGGTTATGTGGTTACTGTCATCTGTTGATCCTTGGGGTTATGTGGTTACTGTCATCTGTTGATCCTTGGGGTTATGTGGTTACCATCATCTGTTAATCCTTGGGGTTATGTGGTTACTGTCATCTGTTGATCCTTGGGGTTATGTGGTTACTGTCATCTGTTGATCCTTGGGGTTATGTGGTTACCATCATCTGTTGATCCTTGGGGTTATGTGGTTACCATCATCTGTTGATCCTTGGGGTTATGTGGTTACTATCATCTGTTGATCCTTGGGGTTATGTGGTTACTGTCATCTGTTGATCCTTGGGGTTATGTGGTTACTGTCATCTGTTGATCCTTGGGGTTATGTGGTTACCATCATCTGTTAATCCTTGGGGTTATGTGGTTACTGTCATCTGTTGATCCTTGGGGTTATGTGGTTACTATCATCTGTTGTTGGGGTTATGTGGTTACTATCATCTGTTGATCCTTGGGGTTATGTGGTTACCATCATCTGTTGATCCTTGGGGTTATGTGGTTACCATCATCTGTTGATCCTTGGGGTTATGTGGTTACTGTCATCTGTTGATC